ACTGCCCCGGACGGGAATTCAGATCGACACGCACGCGAGAACCCGCAGGAGAAAAATAAACGCCGTTAAGAAACGCCACCAACCCCGACCGCTGTTCCCAGCCAAAGCCCCTCGGACTGAAAGGAGGCGGCTTCCCCAGCGACGCCGGCTCCCAGCTCGTCACCTTCGTGCACTTTCCGGCGGAGACCAGCCCGCCTCGCGGGCAACATGGTGATTGATGTAAGCGGACCACGGGCTGTCTGTCCCTGGGGACCAAATCCAGCCGAAAGGCACTGGGCTCCTGGGGGTGTGTGCTGGGGGTCCCTACCGGACACATCAGGCGTCACTTAGGCAAATTCAGCAGGGAGCAGAGATTCAGAGGTCCTCGAAAGGGAGTCACCCTGTCCCCACTCTGTTCGTGGTCGGCCTTGAGCAAGGAACCGGTGTACGAAGCGGTAAATGGCGCCACGGGCCAAGCGTCAGCTTTTAAGACGACCTTCGTCCTTCTCCATCGCTTTGGCCTCGAGTCCTTCTGACGAGCGCAGGGCAGAGGAGCTATGACCCATGGCTGGTCCCCGCTGCCAGCTAAGACCTAGAGACCGTGCCGGTGTCAGGGCTCCCGGAATTACAGAGGAAACGTCGCATTTTATAAACCTAGAATCTTCTGGCTCGCTCAGCACTGTTGTTATACGCCATTCTCTGCTCAAGGGGAAAACCGTTATCTTCCCGACAATAAATCTTTCAAAAAGCAGGTGCCGTGCTGGGCCCTCGAGTGACAGCCATCCTCTCCAAGCGCTGGAGGACACACCCAGGATTTGCTCGGCGGTGCAGTGAGGGCCGCTGCCAGGTGCTGTGGGAAAGAGGCAGGGCCGGAGGCCAGCCCGACGGGCAAGGAGCCTGCCGGGGATGGGCGGCCGGCTGGTCGGCGTGCGAGAGCATCACGGACGGAGGACACCGCAGGATGAAGGCAGGGAAGCAACTCGTGGGCCGCGCGGCCCCGTTCCACAGGGCACATCGCCAGAGGACCGAGGAGCGCCACGCGGTGCCAAGGGCTCCTCCTCCACGTCTTCGGAGAGGAGAGTCTGTCAGCCAGCGTGAGGAGGTCGCGGGGCCAAGGTGGAAAAGCGGGGTCAAAGGCCAGGTCAGTGAACGGCCAGAGGGGACAGCAAAGGAGGGCAGAGGAAAGAAACACTTGGGATGGAAAACGCGTGCTGTCCAACTGGAGAAGGACGCACCCCGGTGACGCTCCAGTTTCTGACACGGGAGCTCAGGGGACAAAATGCCACCCCCCCGGCCCCCCCAGGGAGGGAAGACAGGAAACAAGAGTTGAGAAATGAGGGTACCGGGGAGACCACCCGACACGGAACCCACCGCCCACGGCCGTCTGGACCCAAACGTAGGCCTGAGTCTGGCCCCGACGAAGAGATCTGGGCTGGGGACGCCGACCGAAGCCGGACACAGACGGGAACACGGCGAAGCGCCAGAGCGCGAGATATTCTGGGGACCGAGGGCAGTGGGAAGAGAGCCTAGATTGCAGCTCTAGCGACCACCGACTCTTCAAGACCGGACCAGGGAAATGGAGCGCGGAGGGAAACATCCGAAGAGGCAGCGGCAGACTCAGGAATCATCTCAGAGGCCAGGGAGGAGGGCCCTGCGGTGCCGCCGCACGTCGGGGGGCACCAGGCGGCTACGTCGTCACTGAAAGGAGAAAGCCACACGCGATTTTTTTTTTTTTTTTCTGAGTCCGTCGCGTTCTAGGAATAGCTCCGGCCTGCGGAAAACCAGCCCTCAGATCGTAAGAGCGGAGAGAAACAGGAAAGTGTGCAGAGGACACACCGGGTAGCGACATCCTCGGCGAGGCCGCCCGCGAAGCCGCCCAAAAAAAACGCGACGGAAAAGGCTGACGGAGGGCGACACGCAAAAACGGCGGCTCGGCGCGGCCTCGTTGAGTGTTTCCCCATGCGCCAAACGCTCAGTCTTTGTAAAGGGCCATGTTGACACCCAGGCCGACGTCAGGGTAGATGCTCTGTCTGGACTCGACGCCTTGCCCTGGCTCTCCGAATGACTCCGAAGCTGGCTTGGAGAGGTGCAGCAGCCGTCCCCAACCTTGGTGGCACCAGGGCCCGGCGCTCCCGTGAGAATCTGACGCCTGAGGATCAGAGGCGGAGCTGAGGCGGTGATGCTGGCGCTGGGGGCGGATGCAGATACGGATGGAGCTTCGTTCACTCACCTGCCGCTCACCTCCTATGCAGCCCGGTTCCTAACAGGCCACGGACCGGTACCGGTCCAAGGCCCAGGGGTTGAGGACCCCTGAGCGGGGCGGTTGCACCACACAGTACTCAGCCGGACTGGTAACGCGGGAGAGAACTCATGGCCTTCAAAGGGATGCTCCACAGCGGGACTTTCCAATGGGAATCAACTGTGATCTGCACTGTTATTTCAAAGTGTCTTGCGTCCACATTAAAAAGTGCAAAAGAGATGGGTGAAACGCGTTTCGATATTTTACCTAATCTGTGCAAAACATTATCATTTCGACATGCAGTCAATATAAAAAAAAAAAAATGTGAGATCATCTTCTTCCTCCATGGACATCTTTGAAAGCCAGTGGGCTGCTCACAGGGGGAGCAGGTCTGACTCCGGCTCCACCACGCTCGGTAAGCCACACGGGGCTCGTGGCCACCGTGCTGGTCAGCGCAGCTCGGAAGGAATCGTGCCGAGAGCTCCGGTTCAACTAGAAATCCTCCGAGAAACCGGCCCGCGCTTCAGTTCTCAGGACGAGCCGAGGAAAACGCAGCCTCCCTGAACGCTGTTCTTAATTTTAAATAAACCCCGCATTGTGAAATCCCAAAGAGCCAGCAGGACTGAAGACGTCTGGGTGAGGGGGAGGCTGGGCGGGCTGTGGCCTCGCAGAAGCCAGTGTCCAAGCCAACCGGTCTGTCACCATCAGCCCACGTCGCTGGAGCCCAGTTTTTAACCCCTATTCCTTTCCCATGGTGCTTTGCCTCTTCTTTTAACCCACCATCAGCCCTATGAGGAAGGCAGGATCGAGGCCCTTTTGCCGACGTCTTAAGAGACCGAGGGCCGTTTAAATGACTTGTTCATCCCCAGTGGCGGCTACGAGACCTGGACCCGGAATTCAGGCCTCGCCCCCCGCTCCAGGCTTCTTCAACCAGCAGCTGGTCAGGAACCGCAAGATCAAGGTCAGTGCCGAGTGAGGTGTGAACAAGTACGCGACTGACAACGAACGCTTCGACAGCACCTCCCTCTGCACAGGGCTTAGAAGTTTGCAAAACACGTTCGCACGCGTGAGCTCGTCACTAAGGGACAACACGGGATTGCCCTAGGGGACGTTCTAAAGGTGGCCGGCTGCGGCCCAGAAGGGCTGGCCGGTCAAGGGCGCCCGGGCCTCTTAGACTGCATCCGGCACCCTTCCCTCCACTCCACAAGATGACTCCCTTGAGGATGCCTTTTTCAAACGTCAAGACTACTTAAAGAGGGACTGCTGTTTTCTCAAACCGGCGGGCACATGTCACTCAAGGCGCAGTCTTAACCGGTCGCAAAGGTGACTTCAGCACGGTGCCTCGCTCCGACGCTAGCCAGGCTTCAAGTGGCCTGATGGGTGTTCTCAGCCTCGAGGTCCCGGCTGCAGCCAGCGAGACCGCTTCCCTCACCAATCGGACATCCGTATGCACAGTGGAGAATACGTGTGTGTCTACTATGCTGGGTTCGAGAAAGCAGCTTCTCCCGCCTTCAACTCTGCCTGGAAAGCCACTAAAACGATGGCTACCTGCAGATCCGGCCTTTCATCTGTTTCTTGCACAAGGCAAGCCTGTGAATTCAGGATTTCTTGGCTCTTCCCGATGAGCTCGGGAAGATGGGCTTCTTGGGTCTTTAACTGGGCCAGCCATTAAGAAGAGCTATTTATAGCGAGCACGCCGACTTCCGACCAGCGAGCAGAACTTTCTTGGCCGATTCCCCTCAACGTCGCTGAAAGCACGAAGGCAGAAGCTGCCACGGTCCTTTTTCAAACACCGAACGACCCGACTCTCCAGGGATTGATCGCAATGGGGCAAGTTCTGTCGGACTCGAGGGGAGAGCGGCAGATTGTAGGTGGGGACACGAGATGCCTCCGAACACCACCAACCTGACCCCAAGAGCGGGGGACATGGCCCGAAGCTCTTTCGTGAGATTCACGCGACTCTCCGGGAAAGAGGTGGGGCGGGGGAGGGGGGTAAAAAGGCAGCGGAAGCCCGGGCCTCCGAACACCACCAACCTGACCCCAAGAGCGGGGGACATGGCCCGAAGCTCTTCCGTGAGATTCGCGCGACTCTTCAGGAAAGAGGTGGGGGGGGGCGGGGTAAAAAGGCAGCAGAAGCCCGGGGCACATAAAGAAATGCACCTCGCGAGCACGGCCTGAACGTGGGGCTCCCGGGCCAGGGCTCTGCGACCTCGGCTGCGCGCGCGTCACAAACCAGGCCGCCTAAGCATCCCATCATCATCGCCAAGGACCAAGGACGGGGTGGGTGGAGCCCATCGCTGTCACAGGAAGCGAACCAGCTCTTCACTCGTCCTTCGGTCAACTATTTTTTTTCTAAACTACATTCGTGCTAAGGAAGGCCTGCTGGACCGAAACGTACCCTTTCCACGCAAAAGGTGGAAAGAGCGGATACGTCAGGTCTCGGGTACTTCCAACACCCCGGGTCAGCCTTCCCCCCAGGCATTCAAAGCGGAAGGTCAGCAAGCGTCTAGCCCAGAGGGCGGCGGATTCTTCTGGTAGGTGATCTCGATGGGCACGACAGTAGCCAGGATGGCCCCCGGCCACGCCACGCTCCTGCACCACCCCCAAGTTCCCAGATGCGACAGAAAAGCCAACCAGAACCCCTCCCCCAGCCCCACCCATTCTGAATGCATGACAACCGCCCCCCGCCCAGCAGATCCCGAGACCTCAGGGAAGGGCGGGCAAGGGACAGGAGGGCGGAGGGCAGAGGCGGGAGGGAGGCCGCGGCCGGCGTCGCACTTACTTTTCTGGCACTGGTTTGTCGTCCAGCAACGGTAGTTGTATTCATTGTTGATGCTGGTCTTCTCACACAGCGGCTTCCCCTCCATCGCCCCTGGACACAGGTCCCCACACTCCTTTGGGGGCTTGTTCCCCACGATGTAGTTGTTGGAGACGGCGTCCAGGATCAGGGACCAGTCCACCGTGGACAGGTAGCAGAGGTCGGCGTTTTTCTCGATCCTGATGGCCCCCCGGGTAATGTTCCGCAGGTTGTAAAGCCCGATGTCCTTGAGGTTGGTCATCTCGAAGATGACCAGGGCGTAGTTGTAGAAGAGCTTCCAGCCGCGGATGACCGTGAGGTTCGGGAAGAGGTCGCCGAGGCTCTCGAGGCCGGCCACGCGGAACAGCAGCAGGTACTCGGTGATGACCGTGAGCTTGGGGAAGCGGTAGCTCCGATAGTCCTCGGCCTTGGAGATGAGCAGGATGTGCAGGTAACCCTCGATCACCGTGCAGTTCTCCAGGCGCCTCAGCTGCTGGTAGTCGTTGCGGATGTCGATGCCGGGCCCGCAGACTGGGGGGACACAAGAGGACAAGGGGGGACGCACCTCAGTTAAAAAGGAAGCAACACGGTCAGTTTGGGGGAAACCGATACGATCGTTCGCGAAATAAGACTCGACGCGTCACCACAGGCTGACAACCGGTCAGCTGTCATTCGGGAAGTGCCTACTCTGGGCCGGACGCTCAGCCATCGTTTTTAACACGATTTTCCGACCCGCAACACGGTCAGTTTGGGGGAAACCGATATGATCGTTCGAGAAATAAGACTCGACGCGTCACCGCAGGCTGACAACCGGTCAGCTGTCACTCGGGAAGTGCCTACTCTGGGCCGGACGCTCAGCCACCGTGGGAGACGCCATCCTCATCCTGACAGCGTGCAGACCACAGCTAGCGTTCGGGGTCACACAGGGGCTCAGGCATGCGTCACGGGTGCCATCCAAGCTGGCGGCACCCACGGCTCCCCCGGACCTTCCGCACGGCAGGCACCCGCTCCCGACAGCTGAACGAAAAGCTCGCCGGCCAACACTGATGACTTGTGACTGTGCCCAGCCTCGAGGACACCAAGCAGGAAAGTCTACACCGGAGACGGCACTGTTCTGTGACTCGGAACGTAGGGACTCAAAGACGCATGCGCCCACGTTCGCTGCCACCACCCAACGCAGGCCGGCTGGGTTCGCGGACTCCCCGACACTCCACGGACATAGGTACACAGGCTAATTCAACAGAAAGGTAAATCCCTTACGATGGGTATGAATAAAGGAGGTACCCAATGCCAGCTTTTACAGAGTGTTTTATTAATCAGTAAAGCATGCTTCCTGTAGAAAAGTTAGTTAATAGACAGCAAACAGTAAAAATCATCAGTAACCTCAACAGTCCAAGATAATCGCGATAAACACCACCACCTCTGCCAATTACCCTTTCTCGGCACATAATATAAGGAAATCAGGCGACCGTACGACTTTTTCAAACATAGTCCCTTCACTTAACACTTTACCAAGTCAACAAACATCCTTTTAAATCATCATCCTCAGAAGGAAAAAGTAATTCCAGGGTATGAATATGCGCTATGTGGTCTTTTTCTTTTTAACCAATCCCCTATTGTTGGACATTTCGATGACCTCCCGTTTTTTGTTTTTTGTTTTTTTACATCATAAACAACCCTCTGATGAATATCCGCAGCAGAGATCCAAAACTATTTTGTCAGGGTAAACCCCAAGAAGTGGAGTTATTGAGCTAAGGCACTGGCAGATTTGAAAGGCCTTCGATAAAATGGCCTCCCAACTGGAAGAGTTTGTTTCATTTTAAAAATTCTAGACAGGCGCACGTACCGACCCCTTGGTTACTGCCTTTCTTGGGATTTATGAATCCCCAAAGCTACCATTAAAGCTTCTCAGACAGAGCGAAGTTTTCTGATATACGCGACTCACTAGTTTGTAAAGCACCCGAGACGCGTGGTACTGTAGCAGAGGCAAAGGAGTAGTGAGTGTCCTCCGAGGAGACACGGGGCGAAGGCCAGGTGCCAACAGCCGTCGTCCGAGGCAGGAGACGGCCAGCGGTGTGCAGAGTGCCGGCCCGCTCCGCGTGCGAAGCGAGGTGAGCAGGACAAACGAGGGATGGCCACGGGGCGTCCCGCCGTGCCCGGGCAAGCTGTACGCACGCGCGCTGGCTTCTGGAGGGTGGGTGGGCCTTGAAACCGGGCCTAACGCTGCAGACAAGAGGCCAGACACGAGGCGGAACGAGAGACGTTCGAGGGACAGCCATGTGACAGCCGGGGATGGAGACGGGCGGGGGGGCGGAGGAAGTGACCTGGATAGAGCCTAAGTGATAAAGATCGCAGGTGCGGTGAGGACTTTCATCGCGAGAACGAGGCCCCTCTCGAGGCTCCTGAGTGGCAGACGAGCCGAGAGAGGATTAGTCTGGTGGCCGAGTGCAAGGCAGAATCAAAATGGAGTGGACAGGGCAAGGGGAGGGGACGTCCTTTGCGGGTTAGAGCCACAGGCGGGACACAGATAGAGACAGTGTGGGGACAGGGAAGCGGGGGGCCGGCCGGGGGAGGACCCAAGGGCTGAGGAGCGGGCAAAGCTTGGGCATCCAGAACTTGAAACTTCGTTTTGTCCAATTCCCCCCTTTTACTGATGAGAAAATGGAGCCTCGAAAGCAGAGGGGAACGTGAGAAGCCGACGCTCGGCGAACATCCACGGGCCGGACGGAGGCTGAGCCGGAAGCTTCAGATGCGTCACGGCTACAGCTCGCGGGATGCTCTCCACGACACCTCCCACCACGTCGGAGCATCGCCACTCGCGAGGGGAGCAAAGGGACCTGGAGGAGTCAAGCTGCTTTCACAAGGTCACACCCACGAGACACCGGCCCCTCCGCAGCAAAACCGGACACGTGCGGCCCGCCGGCGGTCCCGGCTCCCAGCGTCGTGACCACCCGGTTACCTCCGACCCTCGGCAGCTGAGCTTCCGCCCCGATCGTGGTGCCGATCAGCTCTTAGCGAAGCCCCCGGTGACATTATCACGGCCACCGACACTCCCCGTCCCCGTTCTCCTCGCCCCTTTCGGGGTCACCTGACAGGGCCTCCTTGTCTAGACGTCTGATTCTGCACACCCGCCGACCTCTCTTCCTCTCCCTCCGACCCTCCTGTCACCTCACCCAGACGACTGGCTTCCCGTGCCCCCATACACTGGAAGAGTCCCAAACGCATGTCGCTGGCCTGGAGTCCTCCGAGCTCCAAAGCTGTACGTCCCCCTGCCTACGCCACACCTGCACTCGGGTGTCCAGCTACCTGTCCCCTCCCCCAGACCTCCCCCCCTCCCAGGCGTCCACATCTTGGCCAAGAACCGCTCGTGTCAAAACTCAGTGACTCGTTCCTGATCCCTCTCTCCCCGTCAGGCCACACGGACCTGGCACAGAAATGAGTCCTCGGGCATCACGCTAACTGACGTGTCGGACGGGGAAAGGCGAACGCCGTCGGCCGCCACGTGCACGACGTGGACTCTCGCGGCCCGAGGCATAGACACGGAGGAGAGAACGGGCGTGGCCAGGAGATGGGGAAACCGAGGCCGCTCCAAGGTGCAAACTCCGGGCTGTAAGATAAATAACGAGGCCTGGGGATCCGACACGCAGCGCGGCGACTGTAACTAACGATCGTTATGCGGCAGACTTCGAAGTCGTTGAGAGAGCGGCTCTTAAATGACGTGACGCACACGCAAACCCCGTGAGGGGGTGGCGGGTCCCCCGGCCTCGCGGTGGTTAGTCCCTGCGCGGTGAACGCCCGTGTCTCGCCGTCTGCACACCTTGAACCTGCCCGTGTTGACACTGAAAAAGAGAAGTCCTCTCGGCTCCGGCTCCCAAGCCTGTGAGCGTCTCGGGCGCCCTCCCCACGATCGCCCCCACCTCCCGAGCCCCCCGCATGTCTGCCGCCCGTGTCCTTCCGTCCCAGAGTGTGTCCATGCCTTTCGAGCCCCAGCTCTGGCTTCTCACGCTTGCTCTGATCACGCACATGACGATGTTGGCCCCAGAAAGACTAGAAATTGCTTTCGATTCAGTCCGCGGTGATCCGCCCGGGGCCCCAAACGGTACTTGGCGCCCTTGCTGCCAGGCGCCCCAAACGCACGTGTGCCATGGATGGATGTCTCCCCTGCTCTGACTCTGATCTGAGCCTGGACCACGGCCACCGCCTCCCCGTGACCCAGCCCGGGGCCCGAGAGACTCAACGGGGACTCATCCCTGTCTACGTCTACCTCACCTTCTAGCACGTTGCTGCTCAGCGCACTGGGGTCACCAGACTCCCCGCCTCCTCGTCCCCCGCTCTCTGGAGCGCTTCGCCATCACGGGGCTGCCCCATGCCCGTCACGTGGCTCTCCACTCGAATGCCACCTCTTCGGAGCTTTGCCCAAACACCCTGGCTTCGACAGTGCCCCTGACCCACTCTCATTTCCTCCTTTTATTGTTTTTATGGCACGTCTGGAAGCGTCGGTACCTGAAGGGACGTATTTAGCTGAGTGATCACCGGCCACTGCCCCAGAAATCAAAGGCTCCGCACTGCTCATATGCTGCCATGTTTCTTGTGCCGAATGTCTGGGCACACAGCACCTTCGGAAGCGACGTCTGCCTGACCGGGCACCCAGGTGCGTCTAGCATACTAATTTCTACTCTCGCGTTAAGTCAGCCCGAGCTGGAAAGGCGAGAATGAGGTCTCCATTGGATGTTGGCCACCAACGTGCTCTCAAAATCGAGATCTATCAGCCAGCTTCGGGGCAAGGACTCAGTGAGAAAGTCTATGTTTTCTTTCGTACTATCATTTTTTCCTTCTGCCCAGCCTCAAAACCCAGATTCCTTCCACGCCATTATAAACGAAGCCTATTCATTTGCTCTTAAATAATAAACAGAAGTCCCTATAGAAGAGCGCTTAGTTCAATCTATTACCGCCGTCCACGTGTGTTTGATCACATGATAAAGCGCGAGGCATCGATTTGTTTGCCATCGTCTCCAATGGACCAAAAATATCCAGCGCCCAGTGAAAGAGCCTGAAGTCACGTCACCAGAGTTTGCTGAATTTTCAAAGAACCGGCTTCGCTCTGCCTCCTGGCCTCCCTCCGTGGCCCACGCAGACCACTGAGTGACCAGAAGCCACGCTACAGAGCGGGAACCAACGGCTTCTTCAGATGAAGACACCGTCTCCACTCTGGACACTCTCTCTCCATTTATAGAAGAAAAAAAAAAAAGGAGGAAGACGTGACCCTCTTATTCATGAAAAGAAGACAAGCCCAAGCCATCAAGGACAGGGCAGGACCCGGCCACCAGCTGTTCTGGGTTTTGTGAGTGACAGAGCGTCGGTCTTTGGGACATTTCTGTGATAGGAAGAGAAACAGGAAAACCCAGCTGGACCGTAAATGATAGTACCACGTTCAAAGGGCCCAAGCCACACACAGGAAAGGGACCACGACGTGCCTCTCACTGGTGCCGTGAAATGCCCCGAGCCCTAAGGGCCCGAACGTGCCAAGCGGG